ATTGCAATCTTTCAGGAAACACATGTAAGTGCTTTTCATTATACTATTATATAAAGATATAACGTAATAAATTAATAACACAGGATTTTCTAATGATTTTCAATATAGTATTTATATAAAGATATAACGTAATAAATTAATAACACCGGGTAAGATTGGGCCGCTTGTGCTCCCGCCAGGATATCCAATCACCCACTCCTTAATTATATTTATCATATAGCGTTCTGTCTATAACGATGTTACAATATTGGTTAAGAAAATACTCCACTGCAATTTTTAGACGGTCATCCCAGACCCAGGTCTTTTATTTTGAATTCTAAGTTTTTCACATACTTACCAAATACTAGCCCAAAATTGGCTAAACCTGCCAAAGCACCGGTGCACATTTTCTGCATATTTGTCATGGCTGCATGGGTGATACTGTAATCGATCACTTCCGCACAAATGCTTAAACATATTTCGTATTTTAAAACCTTTGCTTCTAAAACCTTTGCTTGTAAAACCTGCTGTTTAAAATGATATAACATATGATTTTATATACTCAATAGATAAATTTACCGATTAACGTTGTCGTTGCAAGTTAGTTTGCTGTTTAAACGCCTCGATTTTGAAGGTGAAAGACGAATGAAATTATTTATGCCGTCTACAAATGAGATGCTGTCTGATATTGACGATACACATTTAAGTGGAAAATATTATCTCGATTCTGTGCACCAAAACTAATTATATTCCGAATTGCTTCCATATTTGGCAAATCTCAAAGTCTGGCGATCTTAAGATGGGCTTGGAAGATCTACCCGCCATTATAAACAACGTCAAATGTTACTCCAATGCAAGTGCTTTACACTGAAACCCAGCTATAACACATAAAAGGGCCATTTATACGTGAGAAAAGAAACCGCGACGAAAGACTTATTTAGGCCTACTTGTGAACAAATTGACAGTTCATACGAATCGTTCGCGACTTAATAGTTAAGCCGCGCCTTATTTTCACTCGTACGTATAGCCCTATATAGATGGTCTTGTTTTCCTACCTTCGCCGTTAGCGGCAATTGTTGATGCAAACCCACTTCCTATATCATGTTTTATATTCATAATGTCTATTCCATCTCTTGAGGAAGAAAAATAGTTCCCTAAACTGTCTTTTGAAGGGTTTTTGTTGTCTTCTGGAGACGCCATTGATGAGGAGACATATAATCGTTTGGAGTTCGGTCCATTAACATTAAATCCTAATGCCAGCCTCGTACCCAGGCTCTTTGGTAATAAATAACGGTTTCAGAGCTCTGGGCGAGCCGCGGAGAAGGCTACTCTTCATTTATCCACTCACTCTTCAAATGCTAAACGTTTAAACTTGAGCCAAGCAGCTTCAGATTGCTCGGCACGAGCTAGGATTACGAAAATATCAGTAAAGTTCACAGTGTCAGGGTTTGGGGCTGTCAATTTCCCGTTTGTAATCTAAAATGACTGAAAATTGCAAATTTCGCAAGGCTATATTTTCCGCATTTTACAACATTTCGCAACGAAACTTTGGAATATTACTAATTTTGTGATGCTCTTTCAAGCTGTGATGAAATTTCTGTTGAGATCAAAATTAAGTGGAAAGGATCTCTTTTTCAGGTAGTTGCATCCCTATCAATCCGCAACTTTCTTATTATTGGCACTACCTACACTGGCCACAGACAGTTCAAGATTGATAACAACAAACATTATATTGTCTTTACATATTACTGTAAATTAGTTTTTAAACAAGATTAACAACATTATATTGTCTTTACATATTACTGTTTATTTATTTTTAAACAAGATTAACAACATACTGTCTTCACATATCACTGTTTATTAATAGGCGCTTTCCATTAACACGGCCAGATCGGTCAAAACGATCAAATTGTTGACCGAAAAATTTATATAAAATTAGAAGAAGGTCCATTTCCGCTAGCTATCGAGAAACACAGACCACATCTTTCCATTGATACAGAGACAAAAATTTGGTTCTGACCGGTCAGCTAGGCCATTAAATGGAAGGCGCCCATAGAAAATGACAAACATTAGTGCCTGGTGGCTTTGTTAGGCTATATCATTTCACTGAATACGACTATACGATTACGATTAGCATTTCGGGTAGGGCAAATTTACATGTGGATATGATCAAATGCGCTTTACATCAAGTAGTATACGCTTACCTATATAATTACATACTTATAGCTTAGATTATTTTATCTTTACAGCTGTTGTGATATTACTTTCTTAATTATGTTTATCCTAACCCACCCTGTCAACTTTCCATTTGGGAGGAAACCGGAGCGCACGGAGAAAACCCACGACTATCGGTAGAGCGTTGACTGACTCTTTTCACATGAGTCCATAGCGAGAATTGAACCCACGATCTCAGAGGTGAAACACGCTCGCTCTGACGAGTGCGCCACCGAAGCCCTAACAACAGAGTAGTACCTGACGTCTGAACGAACATTATATTGTCTTTACATATTACTGTTTATTATCTTGCAGTTAAGAATTCTTAAAAGTAACTAAATATTCAGGGTAGCTCTGATAATCATAGAAAATGACAAATATCGTTGGTTTTATTATGTCATCAACAACAGAGTCGTAGCAGATGGTCTGGTTGTTTTCATCAATTGGGGGTGGCACGAGTAATCCGTCTTTTCCTTTCGTGTATTTACCAACCAACACCCGAGCTATGTACATGTATTGTAAGCCTTTATCATCAGGAACAGCATAAATCCTTCTTGCCGAGTACCAAGCATGCTTTGCAAAGTATACTCCTTTGCCGAACTTTACCGCTGTGAAGAAAGAGGTATTTTCGTTAGATACCAAAAGCATCAAGATATAGGGGAAGCAACAGCCTAATTATTCGACAATCATACAATAATTTATATTTCGATGATCATATAAAACAACTATTGATTCGCTCTATCCCTAACACATGCATTTACAAAGTTTTAACGTATTTCATTATTACTACTGTAGCGTGTTCTGTGTTCATGAGGGACTCCCCCCCCCCCACTCACGTTTTCCTCAAGGTGCATGCTCTTCTGCAAATAAAACAATAAAATGAGTGCGCTTCTCTAATGCGAACGGTGCCCACTACGACTCCAATTTTATCGTATAGTTTTATAGTATATCTAATGTAACATAGCTCTAAGACTTAGGTCATGCATTGTCTATATAACATTGTAAGTTTAAATAGATTCTATCAATTGTATTTTGTAAAATAGTATATAGAGAGCTCCAGTTGGTAACAGTGGTTTACCACTGATTGGACAACCCTGTCGAAATAAAGGTTTCATTCTTTCATAGGGTTGGGATTAACCATAGCCTTACAGTTTGCATTAATCCAATGGTTAGCGTTTGGCGTTAACATTAAGTTGGGGTAACGCTAGGAAAATGTACAATTGCCTGACCCGAGGTGTAATTAAAGACATCAAAATTTCACATGGGACTAGATTAGGTCAGTAATGTTTATCCTTACATGCCAAAGACCGAAACGCAAAAACTGTTATATCTTACCGTTCTTTCCACAGTAAGATCTGTTAAAACCAGTCGTATTAATTTTCTCCACGGCCATCTTTGCAGTTCCGTGAAACAATCTCATTTCATTTCCACCATTGCTCATCTTTTTCTTTTGCCCTTCATAGATTTGATACAATCGAGGATTTTGAATTCTTTCAATTTTTACAACTTCAGCGTTCGGCAGTGTCGTTGCCAGTGACGCTTTAAACATGTCATGGATTTGATCGTATTCTGCGCTTTGTTTATCAATGATGAAACGATGCACATCGAGTTCTTTGCCTGTGGAACAATCTATTGGTTGAAAGTCCCAGTTGGGTGAAAATGGAAATGCTAAAAAATATCAAAGGTACAGATATCTATGAACATTTATTCTCAGCTTGGTATGCATGTCGATTGGAACTATATATTGTCCTGTTTCATACTCCCATTGTTACTTTATTATAAAATTGGTAGAATGTACTCTTGCCTCAAAGACCTCGCTTTCATGTGGTTACCTCTTCGTGTTTTGTCCATGATAGAGTTAAAGGTAGGCCTTATATGATTGGGTCAAAATCAAAGAGAAACATATTCGTGCACCGATAAAACAGAGGGTGGGAAAGAGGGGGGGTTGGATCACGTTTCACAACGAAAAAAGAGCCGTTTCACGATTCACGTGTCTTAAAAAGCAATTTCACGGAAAACTAGATTCTCATAAAATAATATAATAATAATAGTATAATAATAATAGGTTTATTAGACTATGTTTAAGCATGGTACAGTATCTACGCTTTAAGTTCTCTCATTTCTCTACCTGTCAGTTAAAAACTACATCATAACTTACAAGTTTGAGTGATGAGAATGTACGACGACCTCCGCGCGTGTCCTCAGCGCCAGGAACCACTTCCTCAGCGCCAGGAACCACGTCCTCAGCGCCAGGAACCACGTCCTCAGCGCCAGGAACTACGTCCTCAGCGCCAGGAACCACGTCCTCAGCGCCAGGAACCACGTCCTCAGCGCCAGGAACC